TGATAATAAAATAATGATTTTGATGATTCAGTGATTTAGACTTTTTCCCAAGGTGACAAATTTTTCCCGATTTGACTAATTTTTCACTATTTGACTAATGAACTATTGTAAGGATGAAATGTATGAAGAAATACGGCTTAAAGAAGATGATTTTGAGAAGACGCATTCGAATGACGGATCTTGAAGATATCTAAGACGCATTCAGAAGACGTATCCAGACGGTATCTAAAAAGACGCATTCAGAAGACGTATCCAGACGGTATCTAAAAAGACGCATTCAGAAGACGTATTCAGATGATGTTTAAGAAGACGTAAATACGAAGATGAATTGTTCCAGACAACATCAAAGGAAGAGGTGTTTGTAAAATACATGTATTCAGATAGACTGTTAAAGATGAACGAACACTGAAAGAGCATTTAAGAAGAGCTAACGCCGTTATTTCTGAGGATGTTAAGATGATGAGAAAAGATGGCTGAAATAAACCATTTAAGACAACTTTTCCATCAATAGTAACTAAAAATCTCTTTTTTTTGTTTTTTTTTATTTTATTTTTCAGATCCCTAGATGTAGACAGTGGTGCTACGAGAATGCGAGGCCGCATTCCATCAGGATGGACGAGCAGTTGTGGGTTGGCATCGTTCATTTATAATCGGATGACGAGACAAGCTGTGAAAATAAATCTTTTACTTTTCCGATGATAGAAGGCAGACGATTCCGGTATTAAGACGATGACGCGATTCAAAGATGTTTGCTTATGAAATACGATTCCTTCTCTTCGTTTGTAAATAATCTCATCTATTTCCTTCTATGTATGTAATTACTTTGTAGTTTGTAGCAACTATTCATGTTTCATTAAATATTCAAGTTATTTGTAAATTGGACTAGTTTATTAGCCCCTAGACAGCCACATCGGAAGTAAGTTTACGAACATCATATTCCTAGACAGTAAATACCGATTCTACAAATATAAATATCAAATTGTCTAAATTACATATTAGAAAATATTATGGTAATTATTCTGGTTGGTTAGATTTTTACAATTTATTTGAAAGCTCTGTTCATAATAATCCTAAATTAAGCAAAGTTGATAAATTTAATTATTTGAAATCCTACCTCGGTGGTACCGCGGCAGCATGTATTAGTGGATTTGCTTTAAGTGATGAAAATTATGATAAAGCACTTGATTTATTGAAAGAAAGGTTCGGAGATAAAAACATTTTGATTAACACTCATTTGAGTGTTTTGCTGAATTTAACTCCGGTAAAAATCCTAACGATGTTGTAAGTTTACGAAATTTATATGATAACGCGGAAACGCAGATCAGAAGCTTAGATTCTTTAGGAATTACAGGTGAATCATATGCAAATCTATTGAATTAATTTTAATGAAATTAATTCCTTCAGAATTCGTTTTAGAATTTAATCGCATTCAAGGCGACAAAGAATTTGACTTAGAAACTCTTTTGCAATTCATTAATAAAGAAATTCGAAGTCGCAAGAGAACCTTTCAAATAAATAATTATAAATCATCGAACCAACGAGTGCACTTATGTTCCTCGCAAGAGAAAATAAAAAATAAAAATTATACTTCTGTTAGAATTAACTCTTCAAGACCTCCGCATAAGAGGGAGAATTCTTTCCCCTTCCCCCACACGCATGAATTCCTGGCGTCAGTCGAAAATGTAATGTGTTTATTTTGTAGCAAAGGTCATAAATCAGAACCATGCTCTACATTTAGTGCAAATGAAAGGAGAGGTATATTGAAGCAACGAGGTCAATGTTTTCGTTGTTTGACCCCAAACCATCGAGTGAAAGAATGTTTGAAAAAGGATTTGTGTCCCATCTGCAGCAAACCTCACCATGTTTCAATTTGTTTTCGAAATCAAAATAATCCACACATTATTTCTCCAAAGGGAGAAACCAATAATGTCGTATCAGCGAATATCGTATCGGGAGAAAGGAATACTATGTTACAAACATGTTCAACCTTAATTGATAATGGAAAAGAACAGGAAATTATTAGAATTTTCCTGGACAATGGTTCACACCGCTCCTTTGTTTTATCAGCTTGTGGTGTTGCGCGGCCCCAACCTACACGCAACAATAATAGTGACTGCTATGAACTGGAAAGTACACAGACTCTTAAGAAGGGTTTAACTCCCTTTTTATTCCACTTTAGAAGTTACAGATGCGTGCACTTGACGCTCACAAACTACGCCGACCCGGCGGTAAAATAAAAATAAGAAACTAAAAATGAATAATAGCAAGTTACTACCTACGAGGCTCTCTAAACATAACTAACCTAACCGCGTTCTAAGATACAGCTGATATTTCAGCAAACTTTCTGAATATTAAGTTGAAAGATTCAACTATCTGCCGAGGCAAGCACACAGGCCGAAACGCGCGGTTCTTCAATTTCTACCTAGCCACCTTCACGCTCGTGAAGCAAGAATGCACACTTACAAACTCTTTTCCCTTCTATTTAACTCAAATTACTTCTGCTTAAAATTTGAATACCTTGCGCGTTCTACTGAAATTTACATACTCTGGCGTTGGCGATTCCAGGGAAAAGTAAGGCTTGACAGGAAAGATAGTTTAAACTTAAAATAAATGTTACTTAAAATAAATATAAACCCTACAAGCTATTTCCAAAAGATTTAACTTTCCAGTTGTTAGAAAGGAAAGCCTTTCCATTTGCACATTTGGTGCTAAGGAAACGGAAACAAAATCATTTAATGTAGTTAAACTTAAACTAAAGAATAGAGATGATCCAAATTTATGCATAGAAATTGAAGCTCTGGAGACAGAACATATTTCGGGTACACATTTACCGACTCCAGATAAAAATATTGAGAAACAATTTAGACGTTTAAAAAATGTACAACTAGCGGACTGTTATGAATTTAACAATAAAGAAATATCAATACTAATAGGTGCATCTTATTATTATGATATTGTCACTGGTCACACGCCTAAGCCTAAGCACACGCCTAAGCAAAACCCTCGTTGCAGTTAAAACAATATTTGGGTGGTGTTTGCAAGGCCGAAACACGAAATGAAACATTTGCAATGAGTGTTATGGTAAACGAATCCAATATTTCCGATCAACTCAAGGAATTTTGGGATTTAGAGAATTTGGGTATCAAGGCAGAAGTAGCTGAAATAGAACCCACTGAGAAAGATATAATGAGTGAATTTGAATCCGGAATTACATATCAAAATAAGCGATACAAAGTGAAACTGCCCTGGAAACCAAATATGAAGACATTATTAGAAAATAACGAGCAGATAGCAATGAAAAGATTTTTGATATTGAAATCATCTTTTAAAAATGACCCGTCCTTATTTTGTGAATATAAAACTGTTCTAAACAATTATCTTTCGGAGAATATTATTGAACCTGTCCCAGTTGATGAAGTAAATTTACGCCAAAATACCGGCGCATGCAAAAGGTCAATTATCTTTGAACGATTGCTTATACACGGGACTTAATTTTATGCCTAACCTATTTCTTCTTTTGATCAGATTTAGAACGAATCTGATAGCATTTGTTGCAGATATTAAGATGTCTTTTCTCCAGATTGAAATAGATGAAAATGAACGAAACTACACCAGATTCTTCTGGGAAGAAGATCCAGGAACTGATGATGAAAACAAGAAATTGGAAATTTTTCGGATGACAAGAGTGTTATTTGGGGTGCGATCTAGCCCGTTCCTCCTTGCAGCCACAATCAAACATCACTTGAAAAGGTACGTAGATATATTTCCTCTGACTTCAAACCATCTTGACTTCAAACCATCTTAATGAATCATTGTACGTCGACGATTTTATTTGTGGGCAAATCACTGTTCAACAGGCTCTAAAGACTTGTAAAGAGAGTGTAGACATTCTAAAAGAGGCAAGCATGGACCTTCGAAAGTGGAGAACCAATTCTCCTGAGCTAAGTAAAGAATTAAAGAATTTAAACTTCAATGTAGATCAGGGTGAAAAGTCTTTAGATACAAAATTGATAGCCTCAAAAGTATTGGGTATTGGTTGGGATGAACAAACTGACACGTTTTATTTCGATACCAGAAATCTGGAAACATTTCTTTTAAAAAGAACTAACACAAAAAGACACTTACTACAAGCAGTAGTTACTACAGCAGTTTTCGATCCAGTAGGTTTTATAGGACCGTATACTATTAGAGTTAAGTACTTGATACAAGAAATTTGGTGTTTAGGATTAGACTGAGATGAAAAATTGGCCAAACAGAAATTGCTTGGAATAAATGGTGCGATGAGATACAAGATGTAAAGGAAATAATTATTTCACGATATTAGTATTTTCAAAATTCCTTGCCCAGTCATGCAATCACTATTCAATTACACTGTTTTTCAGATGCATCTAAGAAAGCTTATGGTACTATTTTGTACTTACGCATAAAATTAAATAGTGGAAATATCATTTCTAGGTTTGTAGCATCAAATAGCAGGGTAGCTCCGTTAAAAACCCTTTCGATTCCTAGATTGGAACTCATGGGTGCACTTTTGTCTTAGATTAGCAATAAAAGATTGAGCAATAAAATTGTAACTGCACTAAGTTTTCCAGTTACCCGATATTTTTGGACGGATTCCTCAATAGCTGATTACTGTATCAAAGGTGATCCAAATAGACATAAGGTGTTCGTGAAGAATAGAATAAAAGAAATACAAAAATACAGCAATCCAGAAGAATGGCATCATTGTATAGGAAAGAATAATCCCGCCGATTTGATTTCTAGGGGTTTATCCTTAAGCGAACTCAAGAATAATCAGCTCTGGTGGCATGGACCCTGTTGGTTGACAATGAATAATACAGCATAACCATCCTCCTTAGAATCAATGGAAGAAAGCGAAGTAGATGTCGATAATTTAGAAGTTAGAGTTTAAGAAGTCAGTTGTTGTAAATGCAACTGTTGAAAATAACCAAAATGAAAACGATTTGATCATGAGATACTCCTCATTCAGTAAATTAATTATGATAACTGCTTTATGTTTGAGATTTATAAATAAATGTAAAGCAAACCCAGAGTTGAGAACAGACTTCATATGTGCTTCTGAGTTAAGATATGCTACTGAAGTTTTAGTAAAACTCGTACAATCAACTGAATTTCAGAGGGAAATAAAGTGCTTGAAAAGCGGACAATCTATTCCAAAAAATAGTAAAATACCATCTCTTAACGTATTTCTTGACAAAAATGAGGTACTGAGAGTAGGAGGAAGACTGGAGTATTCTGAGTTTTCTGAATTTCAGAAACATCAGATACTCTTGCCAAAGGCTTATCATTTCACTAATTTAGTTATTGAATATTATCATAGAAAATCCTTACATTCTGGCGTACAGACTACATTATCTTTAATAAGACAGTCTTATTGGATACCGTCTGGTCAAGATCGAGTTAGAAGAGTAATAAATAAGTGCATAACTTGCTTTAGAACGAAGAATCAAATGGTAAGCCAGATGATGGGTAATCTACCTAGGGACAGTGTCGTGCCTTCTAGACCTTTCGAGAAGGTCGGATTAGATTTCGCAGGACCTATAATCACGAAACCTAATTTGAAAAGGTCAAAGGTGACTTTGAAGTCTTATATTGCATTATTTATCGGTTTTTGCACTAAAGCAGTGCATTTAGAAGTCGTTTCTGAGTTAACAACAGAAGCTTTTCTAGCCTGTATACGACGATTTATTGCCAGAAGATCCAAACCAGCCGTTATCAGGAGCGATAACGCCACGAATTTCAAAGGTTCGAGAAATATTCTTAACGCATATAATGATATTTGCAAATCTAACCCAATTCAAGGATTTAGTGCAGAAGAAGGCATCCAATGGAAATTTATCCCACCAGCTTCTCCTCACTTTGGCGGACTGTGAGAAGCAAATATAAAATCGGTGAAACGGATTTTGTTAAGGGTAGCAAAATCAGCTATCATGAATTTTGAAGAGTTAACTACTTTAGTTACTCAGATAGAAGCAGTTCTGAATTCCCGTCCATTATCACCGCTTTCTTCCGATCCGAATGACTTACAGCCTTTAACTCCGGGACATTTTTTAACAGGAAATGCTATGTTGTCCTTTCCTGAACCACATACTGCTTCGGATTCTCTTTCTTTTCATTCCAGGTGGGAACTAGTTCCAGAGACTCCAAGCTACATTTTGGAAGAGGTGGCATTCCGAGTATCTAAATCAACTACAGAATCGTGCCAAATGGAGCAGTTCGCAGCCAAACATGCAGATTGGTCAACTAGTACTGCTGAAGGACTCCAACCCTAATCCTTTGCATTGGCCATTGGGTCGCATCCAACAAGTGTATCCTGGTGATGATGGTCTGGTCAGAGTAGTTGAAGTTATAACCTCTACAGGTGTTCTTCGGCGAGCCATCAACAAAATTATTCCTCTACCATTTAAAGACTGAATGAACTTGAAAAACTTTATTTTATATTTAATAGTTTACCAATTTAATATTTAGTGTAATTTTAGTGACTTAAAATTTATTTGAATATTTGGAAATTGAAATGTAAACTCCATGGGAGTTTAAGCGGGGAGAATGGTAAGACCCACCTAACGCTAGAGGGCGCTGAGAGCGCCAGTGAGTGTGTGCTGAGACTCGATGGAAGTTAGTCGATGGATGATGTGCGATTTCTGAGATTGAGATATTATTATATTTAATTAAATCAATTTATATTTTATTGATTGGTGTTTATTGATTTTGATATGAGATTTGATATTATGTTTTGCTGAACCACCACACTTTCGACAAACTTGGATTACCACTGAATCTTAAAACCACCGATGCGCAATGATATAGAAAACTTTTAAAAGCTGGAGAACCAATTTTAACTTCCTTGTACAAAGTAAAGGAAGCACTGTAATCGTGAAAAATTTTGGGTGTCGTATTTCAACGAAAATATCCATTTCTAGCGCTTTCGAAACTATATGAATTATGTTTTTGTGTGACATCCGTACGTAAGGACAGAATAACGAATTATTTTGGCCGAAACGGATTGTAAAATGGATTTAAAATATCTTCAGAAGAGATTTCTTTTTCTCGACGTCTGTAGTACGTACATATATAGGTATCTCGCATAACTAAAGAATGAGTAGCCGTAGAACGTTGAAATTTTGTATATGAGACTGCTATAACATATAGTAGTTTCCTCTCACTTTTTCATTGTAATCGGCTGCACCAATCGTATATATATACAAATATTCGCACTCTATTACCTGGCTCGGCGAGCTTAGTTTTTTTTATTCTTATATGTTTATAAATTTTGCATTTTTTGCTTTAAAAGTGATTGAAAAATGTGGTTTTTATGCTTCGGTTAAGGATTTTATGGCTTTGGTTAATCTTCATGCAATAGTTGTAGAATTACCATCAATTTAAAAGTGATAAGTTAACCCTAACGAACCGCCGTTTGCTTATATTTGAAACTAAGTAGAATAGTGCACTAAGTCAGCTTCTGCACATTAAATGCTTTTTTGCCGAGAGGGACCAGAAGTAAATTTTCAGTTTTGCTCGCCGAAAAATCTGCGTTCTTGTCCTCTGGCCGAATTGCTTCTTTTTGCGTAGAAACTCTAATTTTAATTGTAAAATTGTTTTTTTTAACTGTATTTGATGTGTGTGTTTTATTTTGCAATTTTTAATGAAGATGTTTCAGCTTTTATGTATTTTTGCTTTTCTACGAAGTGAGAACTTAATTCATTAAATAAGAAATATATCTCTAATGAAATTCGAGGAAATAAGTTAAAATGAAATGCAGCAAAAAATGCCTTTAATTTAATAGGCTGTACAAGGAAGTCATGTGGTGTCCACATCAAACTTTTTTTATGTGCGACGTGCTAATTATAATGGCTTGACTGAAGGTTTCAACTAATGATAAAATGATGACATCATTATAGAACAAAGAGGCTGTGATTGCACCGCAACTTGGTTGAGAATTGTCTTTGATTTTTGTGACGATGGAGGTTTTGAATTACTTGGCTTTTAGTACAAGTACACGATTTATGGCTAAATCAATTCCAGGAAAACCATTTAGGTTGTTTTATTAATAGCTAGAACGTTTATGGCCTTTAGACCCAGAACTGTAGAAAAGTATAGATTGGGCAGGCTTTTGAGAAGTTTTAATCTCTAATTATGAAAGTTATTGTTTAAGTTTAAAATCAACAGAAAATGTTATTTTTTTCGAACTAGATACAAGTTTCATAAATCTTTAACTTATTTTAGAATTCACTTACAATAATATAACTATATAATAGAAGTTTGTTAGGGTTTTCTTGAATACCATTTATCACATTGCAGAGATTTATATTTATTTTATATAACCAATTTAATTTTACGTTCATTTCCTATAAGCCTTCATTTCCCTAATTCTCAATGCCAGAATATTTAAATTTGGTAGTGCGCTTGAAGCAATGCAAATTCTACCTTGAGGAGAAAAAGTTTAAATACCGAGTTCTAGATGGAAAATGAGAGAGTTTGGGCAATCACCGTCCCCTCTGTAGCGTAAGCTTCTATTTCTGCATTTATTGCTGGTTTTACGTTTTCATAACAGCTATTACTTGTTTCCACTAGATCTCGACGCGGTTTTAAATAACAGGAGTTTCTGAGCCCTGTAGCTTAATTTCTACTATTTGTTTAATATCTTCGAATTTTTATTTAGTTCTTATTATTTGAGTTACCGCCCGAGTGAAGCGTAGTATGTTAGCGTCAAGTCTACGAATTGTGAATTTTAAAGAGTTTAATAAAGGGTACTTTTAAACCTTCTCTTGTGCAGTTTCTACATTCATTCAGTTGTTACTTTAGAAGATAGACAAGTGGTTCTTACAGCATAATGAAAAATAGAAGACATAGCGATTTTACCTCTGGAACCAATTTCTCTCATAAAAATAAAATAATTAAATAATGACTCATTTGGTTTTAAATGTCTTTTAACAATCATTTTATGCAAATGTGCACTCTTAAATTTAGAGGAAAGTTCTGACAAATATTCTTTCAACCCATTAAAAGTTTTGACACCCTGTTAGAAAATTTACAAAAGTTTTAGAAGAACTTGATTTTTTTTTTTTTTTTTTTTTTTTTTTTTTTTTGAGTGCAATTTTGAGAACGCCTTTCGTAATTCTATTCAGTTGAAATAATTCTTTAAGATCATTTAAAAAAGGATTCCATTTAATTGTTATAATTATTGTCCAATTAATTCCATTTAATTGTTCCATTTAACTGTCAAAAGGTGTTATACATTCACATAAATCAAGAAAATGAACATAAAAATCTTATGCTTGTTTATCACTAATGACATTCTATTCGTATTATTTATTTGATATTTATGTAAACAAATGTCTGAGGTGGTGGATTTATGAGTTCTGGCTATCTACCAAATTAGAAATTCTACCAAATTAAAAACTACCAAATTATCTATCTACCAAATTAAAAACTGTCTGAACAATTTCTTAACTGTTCAGACAGTTTTTAAGCTGCATTTTATTTTGGATAATTACTTGTTCTGGTTTTTCTAGTTCAGAATCAGAATCCGAAACTGTAGTTTCTAATAACAGATCAAAATTATTTAAAGCACTCATGATTCTATTATAACATTCATCAGCGGAAGTGAACATTCTAAACTGAGAACATTAAGGATTTTAATTAGATAATCAAGAGTAATCTAGATCAAGAGTAATTAAAGTTTTACTAACGTTTATTTTATTTTAAAACTGTACTATCTTTTCTTATTTTCTACTTCCGGCCAGAATTAAATGCTTTAACTTGTTTATGCAAATTGTACTTGCTAACGCCGAAGTATTTCAGTTGTGGCTTTTTGCCAATAGGGAGAGAGAGTGAGTCGCCTTGCCACTTTTACGAGTTTTCAATCAGTTGCTGCTTGCTTTTAAGGCCAGAGGTTTTAGTCCTCTTGATATTCAAAACGTATTGTAGTTTCAGCAGTTTGCGTACTACCTACGTAACCTTTTAAAAAGGCCAGTCTTAGTGTTAGACATTTGCAAACTAGTTCAAAGTTAGCGTTTAGTTAGAACTTTAGTTAGTAGATTTATACTTTTACGTTCAGACTACAAGTGGTTGGTCTCTGTATCCCGATGTACGGGAGCACCTGAAACTTTATAGAGAATAAAGGCTTCAGTACACCCTTCCTGCTTGTGTCGTCTATTCCACACATACTTGAACATAGCTTTAGTAAGCTCCCTGTTCCTATTCAGGACACGTAATATTTCCAAAGCAAGTCGAAAGACATACAAGTCCTGACAAACTTGGTTAGTACCCCTACATTTTACAATGATTATTTTTCAATTTCTCAGTAGAAATATTAGAAAAAAAAACTATTTGCCCTTTGCATAACCTATTGGCTACTTATACTAAATATTCACGCATAAAAATATTAGATAAAAATAGGTTACCATGTTAATTATCAAAATTAAAGTTATAATACTTTAAGTCTAAGCTTTAGGGTGAAATTAGGGCCTGTTTAAGAGAGTATCTCTAATGGTAAACAAATTAACGGTTTGTCCTTGTGTTCCGGTGCGCCGGAACAGAACAACTCAACCTGACTCTTTCGCATTTAGAACTATGCCAAAGAACATTCAATCCAGTTCAACAGTCAGACTCAGACGAACGCATTCGCAAGGCAGCTGGAATGCTGTCTATTTTTCACTATTTTTGTTTTTTTCTCGTATTTATAAGTTTTATATGTCATTTTATACTTGTATGTTTATACTTGTATTGTGCAGTTATTTAATATAAGTTTTGTGTTTAAAACGAGGACGTGTTTTGAATTCATTCACATCGCAACACCTTGTAATCCCAAATTTAATTAATTTAATTGTCCAAAAATATCAGCTAAATATGCCAAACATGCCAACGATAATTC